TTTTTGATTCAGAAAATATTTGTATTGCTTGATAAGTCTGTGCATTAATATTTAATAATAAAATGCAAATTCCCAGACTTCATACTTCTTACATTAAAACACATTGCAGTGATTTGAGATTTTTAGCCTATGCACATTTTTCTGAACTGATCTTGTCCATTATGCATAGACTTAAATCAAAATTCAGTCTTGTGGGAGTATGAATAATCTTTGGCAGTTGACATTTAAACTAGTTTAAATTAGAGGCTCTATTTAATATAAGATGTACCCTACTTAAATTGGTGCAGATGACAGTATGCTTGTTAACCATTTCATATGACATTTTATTCAGTCACTCAGGCTGGAAAAAAGTTACCTTGCTTCCATTTATTGCTTACTTTAGCATGTTGCACTGGGTTGTGAATTAACTGAATGAACTGATGTATTTAAAATTCATACTAAATATAGCATTTTCTCTAAAGGAACATATTCTATGCTTTCCATTCTGCTGTGCAGTGACATTCAGCAAAAATCCCCACTGACAGCAATGGGAAAGTTTGCCTGAAGCCATGCATATAGTATACATATTTCTAGGAGACCCAAAGACTTTGCAGAATTTGGATTGTTTTCTTTTTTTTCTCCTATTTATTATTTAGTGTTTCTGTAGATACTGTATGACCATAAGTCCATTTATTTTTCCACTTACTGCAGCCTTTTGTTTGTTTCACTTTTCCATGGGTTTCTCCCTGACTCTTTAAAGGGATATGTGCCACTATAAGAGAACAGACTGAATATATACACAGTATATATATATATATCTCCACCCAGTGAGTGATGACAACAAGTGAGTGCTCACTTTGGGAGGTAGACCCACAGAGCTAGGTCAAATGCACTTTTTCCCTTTTTAATGGGGGAGGAAAGCCCATGCATAGAAAAGGCAATAAGGTCTCCTCAGATCACAGGTACCAGTATAAATGCAAGAGGAAAGAGAAAAAGGACAAGGACATAGTGCGTAACCTAGCTCTGTGGGTCTACCTCCCCAGGTGAGCACTCACTTGTTGTCATCACTCACTGGGTGGAGGTGAAGGTCTGCCTGCATTGTGTGATTATCCTTACCTAGGAGTTACATGCAGATTGGCTGCATAGATATTTTCTATGCCTCATTTGTTTGAAGGCTCATATATGTGACTCATTTATATATGTTTCAATTTATTAGATGTGCATGATTATTAGCTCGGCACAATATTGTTTTTCACATTTTCCAGATATTTAGTTATATCCTTAGTGCTTGGTAGCTCTTACTTTCACATTTCACTTACTGGCGCTGATCACATTATTGTTTATAATTATTACTGTATTAATGAATACAGCGCTGGATTAATATGTGGATTTTCTATCTGACAGTAGTTCAGGTGTAAGGATCTACAATATTTTCCATTAGAACAGAAGAAGGTATTTTTTGGACCTCTTTCCTGTTTGCCACACACAAGTGCAAATGAAAAAAAAAAAAAAACAACAATTTTCAGAAATAAAGATCCATTTCATACCCCCACATTCAAATGTATTATAAATGTGCCAGAATTAAATAACATTGCTTGTAGCTTGTTCTCAGAATGCACACATCTCATATAGGTTTATTATTTTAACTGAAGTATTGTAACTAAGTAGGCCAGGGATATCAAGGCTGGAAAGGAAAGAGGTGATGCTGAATGTCCTCCAGACATATAATGCAAATGGATCTATGTGGCTAGTTGCAGCTTCTAATGCATAGTGTGTGAAGCTCATAGTGTGCATTAGAATCAAAGTAAGCAGCTTCAGTACAGGAGAGGAGACGGTAGAACTGTGCAAGACTTAAGGGGGGCTGCAGTTCAGCTTTATTTATTTTTTTTGTTTCTATAAACAGGCCACTAGGTATTTTCCTTGCACATAGTGCATTATTTTATAGAAATTGCTTCGACAGCAGTGTTGTTTTGCAACTAAATTGAAGTGCTTTGTCACTAAATGATCCAAAAAAGGTGTTTTACCTTTCACTTTTGGTTCTTCTGACCTTTTACACCACTAGCATAAATTGTAGATCAATTTGTTTCTGGAAGTTTATGTGAGGATAGCTTTCAATGTTGATGAAACAAGAAAACACTGCCCTCTTGTGATGAAATAAAATAGAAACACCCCAAAGCCAAAGTGTTTGCACTTTGAACGTCCATTAAAGCAACAAAACACAACATAACACGGACAATGGATTTTAACTGCTAATTGTTTTCAAAACCTTCTCAAAGTCACAAAACAAAAAAACACCAATAAGCCACTGTGATATATATTTAAAGAAAACATGACACATACTTTGAACTGCAAGCATAAACACTAGTTATATACAAATGTATCTAGTGCATTCTCCAATACACAACCCACAGCTATTATTTTTTTTTTAAAATAGAAATTTAATTTTCACACAACTTAAATTGCTGAATCAAAGCAAATTGAACAATAAGTAAATGCATGAATTTGCTTCAATTTTTTTTTTTTGACACTGCAAATGCGGTTTCTTTGTTCTTGTAAACAGTCATCAGCATAAGTGGCTTCTCATCGGGAGGAATTAAATGAAGTGCCTCATCATTATGAGAATTGCGTGTTTGTTCTATGATACTGTAATTAATCATTTGTGTTTGTTTACGGGGAACAAAAAGACTAACGGTGGCTATTCACACAATCTAAAAGTAAAATGCTTTATGCAAATTCAGGCATGTATTCCAGTGAAGCCCATGTGGAAATGTGTTTGTTTTATAGGTCCTGTGTGTTGTTGTGTTTCTCATGGTAATTATAAATTGAATAATAGCATAGCTGTGAACTATAATTCCTCTCGGACAAATATATTTCACAGCAATATACTGTCCCAGAATTCACCTACTTGTCGTCTTTTATACTTTTTTACATGCTGATTTTCATATTATTATTATAATACAGGATGTATATAGTGCCAACAGTTTGCACAGGGATTTACAGCATATGGGGAGACAGTACAATTATGATACAATGCCATACAAAATAATTAGAAGGTCCCTGCTCCAGAGAGCTTACAATCTAAAACGAGGGGCAAGTGATACAGAAGGTAACAACTGTGAGGAATGAACTGATTGAAGGAGTAGATGTACAGTTTTTAACAGGAGTTGGAATAGGCTTCCCTGAAGAGTTAACTTTTCAGGGATCACCTAAAGGCAGACAGATTAGGAGATAGCTGGATAGGTTGTGGTATATAGTTCCAGATGATGTCACCAAAACAGGAACACAATGGTGACATAATAAAGGGCATTTCTATCTATGCAGAGATTGCCTCTCACTTCCTGTGGAATATGAAAAAATGCATACTGTTAAAAGTGCTAGAGTTAAGGGGCATACCCACTATTTAACTAAAGCCCTCCTCCAATGATTTGGACTTCCTCTATATATACATATACATTTATATTTGGGAATATCAGAAATTATATCAGACTTGCCCAAATAAGCCATCTGCTGAGGAATTCTGAATTTGTAGAAAAAAAAGAGACATATGTATAGGCACTCTGAGTGCCATTACTACTGTTCAACACCCGAGAAATATTTGGATCAACAAAAAAAAGTGGTATGAATTTTTATTTAAATTTTAAATATAATGTAATATTAATAACATATTATTTTAATTGTTTTATTAAAATTTCATCACATTTCTGGCCTCATAATGCCCCTTTCTTTAGAGCTTGAAGACGAACTCCAAAAACTGCCATTCAACTATATTCCTTTATAGCCACAAAGGATATAAATATACTTTGTGTGCATGAAATCCCATTCCAAACTGAAATATTACCTTGTAAAAGTAGCAATGACATCATCACTGTGCTGCTCATAGTCTGTGCAGAAGAGCTGTGGGAGGAATCCAGCAGGACCACACACTACAGGCTGCCTGCATTAAACTACAGGAGAGGGTGTAGACAAGACCAGTCCCCATGCACAGGAAGAGAAAGCAGCACTAACTGGTATTTATTTCAAAAACTCCTGGCAAAGGCAGTAATCATGCTGGATTACTATTCAGAGAGAGATAGTTTTTCACTGATATTAACTATCTCTCTCTGAGTATGGCAGCCTACTGTATACTATTCTTGCCCAGTTTTTGTGACAATTAAAAGCATTATTACTTTAAGAATTAGTACAGTTTTAGGTTGTGCTTGAAGTAATGTCTGCAGAGAAAAATGTTAAATGTAACAAAGTCGTTTTATTGCACACATTGCACAGGATGGTTACAGTGTTTTTGAATAGAAATTCAAAGATGATGTAAAAAATATGCAAGCCCTGTGCAGCCCAAGCTTTGTATGAAGTATGAAGCAAATGTACTGTACTACAATTACTGTGCTTTAGTGCAAGCTTTAAAGGAGAGGCGTCCTTTAAGTCAAGGGGCATTTATCTTTTTTGCTCCCCCATACCCTGACCCTGTCTAACCCACCCTGTGCAGTAGTGCTCTGAGGCCGAATATGCTCACAGATGGTCCCATAGAAGTCTGTGTGCCTGTAATGCACAAGTGCAGCCCGGACAGTGAAGACATTTGGTGCTGCATCTAAACAAAAAGTAGAGCCGTGGTCATTGGATTGGGGTAAACATGCATCTTTAGAGCGGGAGGGTGGGTTAGGTTAGAGGAAAGGGGAAAAAAGCGTAAATGCATTTTGTTTTAAATTGCGCCTATTTTGTTATTATTTAAAGCTTGCCATTTGTATTGGAACTGCAGTTGTTCCCTACAACATGTACTATATAAACAATGCTCTAGTCTTATTTGTAATCTTTTTGGCCAATATATGTTCAGAAGTGTTTTGCAATGCCAATTGCCAATACAAAAATGTGTCTTCATTTATAGTTTAACATATAACAGGTTTCAGACTATACTTATTTACTGGAATATATTGGTTTAAATGTTTATAGGCAACAATCACTAATGCTATTAATATCTTTATTTTATAGGTAATGATCAACAATAGCCACCAGGAAATCTTGTTAGCAAGTCAAGTCCATCATACAGACATCTATACATATGTGCTCTTGACCAAACTTTTTTAATAGACATTGATGTAAATGTAGTGCAATGGTCACATAAGCACTTACAGAGGAGTGCAAGCTCACTTCAATGTTCTACTTACAAAGTCACTTTAATAGGGAATAGGTGGAGAGACACTGGCATTTTTGGAAAGAAAGAAACAACTAAAACATGAATCATATTGTAAAGTTGCGAAGGAGCTTCCGAACACTAGTACTTCTCTTAGCCACTTTCTGTCTTATAAGTATAGTAATTTCTGCTTACTATTTATATTCTGGTCACAAGCAGGCAATAGTACTTATTGAGACAACTGCTCAAGCTAATTGTGAAGACATAAACCTATTACCATACAGGACAGTGGAGATAAGGACTGCTAAGCCAATTATTACCGGTACTGCTTCCATGACAGACCTCACAGTGTTACTCTTTGTGGAGAGCCAATACTCTCAGCTTGGACAAGATATTGTAGCCATCCTGGAGTCCAGCAGGTTTCAGTACCACATAGTCATTGCACCTGGTAAAGGAGACATCCCTCCACTTACAAAAGATGGCAAAGGTAAATATGCAATCATAATCTATGAAAACATTTTAAAGTATGTAGCAATGGACTCTTGGAATCGAGAACTTCTTGAAAAATACTGCATTGATTACAGCGTCAGCATTATTGCTTTCCATAAAGCTAATGAAAATAGCTTACCAAATACCAAATTGAAAGGTTTTCCATTACTTCTCTACAACAATGTAGCTCTGAAAGACTGTTTTGTAAATCCATCCTCTCCACTGCTTCACATAACAAAAGCAACAGTTGCTAAAGGGCCTCTGCCTGGGGAAGACTGGACAGTTTTCCAGTACAACCATTCAACATACCAACCTGTGATCTTATCTGAACTGCAAACATCTGAGCAACATGATCCTTCTTTATCCAGATCTTCCCTTCAAGCCACTGTTATCCAAGACCTTGGACTTCATGATGGGATTCAAAGAGTTTTGTTTGGAAACAACTTGAATTTTTGGTTGCATAAATTAATTTTTATAGATGCCATATCTTTTTTGTCTGGGAAGAAACTTAGTTTATCTTTGAACAGATTCATTCTTGTAGACATAGATGATATATTTGTTGGAAAGGAAGGCACTAGGATGAATGCAAATGATGTTAAGGTAAGTGCAATTTATCTTAAATTTAATTAAACAATGTCATCAATGAGGAATAAATGATCACATTGTAATAATGAAACTTGCAGTTCTGTAGGAAAGGGAGACCCAGCACTTTTACTGCTACCAAACCCGTATGTTTAAATTCCGAATTCTAAAGCTTAGCAATGATGGTGCCTCTATCATGATAATGCCATCATGCTAGTACTGTAAAATACCTCATGACTGCTCCCTTTGTTGCAGAAGTGATCTGGGCTATCTGATTACATCTATTCAACTCAGAAGAATCTCTTCCGGTGATTTTTACCTCACTTTGTAGATGTTTACTCTCACTTGCTCTTTCATCTCCATGACAGGAAGTGAGGGGAAATCTCCCCAACAGGACACAGACAACAAATAATAAATTGATAGGGGTTTTAACCATTCCCTACTCTATCCAATCTGAAAAAAAAGCTTTGGCCATACATACAATTCAACATATTGCAGGTTACCAGTCTTTAGATATGATGGCTACATTGGTTTTCACTTTTCATGCTAAGAACATTTTCAGAAAGTTCTGAAAATACCTGTTGATCTTGCCAGAAATGCAGTGTCCTTGGCACTTCCTCTGAGGTTAACAGAAAGCACATCCTCACCCTAACAATTTACTGATATTTTTTCCTGAAGACGTACCTAAATCATTTGTGAAAAAAATAAATGATAAAAACAAGCAGAAAAAAATGCCCAAAAATCCTATCTAGGTCCCAGCTGATGCTGCCTTTCCACAAGTCTGGGTTCAAAGAATAATATATCCGTTTTTTATCTTCACATGTTGGACAAAAAATAAATAATAAATAAGACAATATTATTGCAACATGTTTCCACTGGGTCAATTTAAAGCAATCAACTTGACTTTTTAGCCTATAGGGCAAGGTAAATATATGCAACTGTGTTACATTGTATTGACAACCTAGACATTTTCTATGTGTTCTTACCTATAAGGAATGTAATCCTACTTTATCTGTCTAAAACAATACAGGCAAAAGCAATGTTTTTTATCCGGCTTTTTTTCTTCTTTTTTACTCAGTTAGTGTTTGCTAACATTTTTTTAAAATATAGCTCAGTAAAATAAAAACAGACAAAACAAAATAATCCTAAAGGGTTATGTAATAACAATATATAAGCTTACACATGTGCAAACATGAATAATTGGCACTCAAATATCACTTTTTTCATTTGCATTTTTATGTAAACCAAAATCCATGTAACAAATGTGAAATGAAGTGAAAAATGCTACTTAAGGAATGTAATATATTTTTAAAACTATAATCTGGGTCATAAATAAACTGTCATTCTCTGTAGGGGTGTATAGATTAAAATATTTTAGGCATCTGAATGTAATTACATTTGTTCTCCTAAGTGGGGCAGATCTATTTTATTGGCCAATTATTGGTGACAATAAGATTTTTTTTTCCTGAAATAGGACATTGTTGAGGATGATTAAAGCCCAACTCCAACTTAAAGTTTTTTTGTTAAATCACATTCAGTGTCTATAAAAAGAATACTAACTATTATTAAAAGTGTCCATGTTTTATTGCTGTAGAACACAGTGTATACCATTTATATTGGTTACAATGAAAAAACACAGAATAACTGATTGCATAAATATACACTCCTTTTAAGTTTTTATTTTTTGTTATATGGAAAGTTTAGAAATGCTAATTGTGCCTACCAAGTATCCTGAAAAAATGTACCTTTTGTATGGAATTTCTTTTGAAAAATAGCAGTGCGCTGCCTGGTATTCAAGGATGCCTAGGCACTCCTGCTTCAGATACTAGAAAAGTCACTCAAATGACAAAATACAGTTAAATAATAAATTAAAGTACTAGTAAAGCAATGATTAAAAAAAATAAAAGGACAGGAGAGCTTCTAAGAGCAAGCAGGCCACCAGAAATAGGTAATTATGCAAGAGAGAAAGAGAAATCATGGAGTAAAATCTTATGCAGTCTGCAAGAATTCTGAGCCTAGGGAGATTTGCCTTCGGCAAGACAATGATCCAAGCTTAAAGCCAAAAAAACACATGAATGGCTTAAAACAAAGGTGTTGATGTCCTGGAATGGCCAAGTCAGAGTCCAGGGGGGTGATTTACTAACCTAAACACACGCACCAGGTGCGTGTGATTTTTACACAGCAAAGTGTATTTATCAACCAAAAAGTCTCTATAAGCATGTTTCCACTAATGCCATATATAGAAAAATCATGCACATGATGCATATATAATGCTGCTTCACAGTTTAGACAAAAATGGTTAGCTCATGCATTTACATTCCCGCATTCATCAACGCAATGTAGAGCTAATTTACACAACATCACCTTGCAATTCAGGGCAGGGCTTTGCACAACACACCTGCTGGGTGTGTACACACTACAAAGGTGTTTAGATTCCACCCATAGATCATGCTGGGAGGGAACACACTGCAGAGGTGTATACATGTTCGTGGTGTGTTTATAAGGTTAGTAAATCAACCCCCAGATCTCAATCAAGTAGAGAATTTGTACTGTAAAAAGCTGTTCAGTCATGATCTTTATGCAACCTGACAGAGCTTGAGCAGTTTTGCAAAGACAAATGAAAAAAATGTAGTGCCCAGATGTGAAAGCTGATTGAGACCCATTCAGACATACTAATTTGAAGGGGGTGTCTACTTGTGCAGTCATGTGAAGATAGGTCACCAGCACTCCAAAATACAAAGAAAATATTTATTGCAAATAATGTCACATAGGTCAAAATTGCCAACGTTTCGGGGCTGTGCAGGGTCCCTTCCTCAAGCTGACACAGTGACAAATGCATATAGTAGTGAACAGATATACATGCACTATATTGCATCCGTCCTCAGTGCAACTGAGAATTGCAAAGCCTGATAAAATCACATGCTTAGCATTACTGAGCTCCCTGTCTGGCCACTGCTTCAGTTACATAGGGGGAGTTGAGCTGTTGGGTGGGAGAAGTCTGATGTTGAGAAACTAGTTCCCTTTCAGGTCTGCCTTCTCTTAGCTTGTCAATGGGCAAAGCTCTGATAGGGAAGCTGAGAGACTAGTTACCTAGCAGGTCTGTCTTCCCTGTGATTGACAATTGACAGCAGTGGGCAGATTCCATAACTAGCAGTGGGCTGTCTAGCGGCTATGGTATCTGCCCACTGTCAATGTTCAACCCCACATCATTGGTTGCTGTGACGCTGTCGGATACAAAGTGTCATTGCTTACTGGGATGCTATAGCTACGAACTGGCAATAATTATTTTAGAATTTGATGCTGCTATAGCAACATATTGTAAAAGTGGCACAAAATCTGTCACACATGTTGGTAATGTTAACAAAACTGTTACAAGGCTTTCATGAATTAGGCCCAGGACTTTTCCAAGGGATCATATAGCCAGATTAGTGTTACAAATGCTTTAATTACTCCCTCCATTGTTTCTTTCAATAAATCACTTAATATTTTTTTTGTTTCATACGTATATGTAACATTAAACCTTCTGTGCAGAGTGCAGTATCTACAGCAAGTACTTATATTTCACTAGGATTACTTCTTGGTGTGAAAAGTTGAAAATAGGTAAAAAAAAACGGCACTCACAAGGGGATCTGTCCATCCAGTACTTTATTTGTAAAAAGGCATAACGGTAGCAAACAAATGCTTACATGTTTCAGCCCCCAAACTGGGCCTTAGTCGTTGGCTACGACTAAGGCTCAGTTTAGGGGCTAACATATGTAAGCATTTGTTTGCTACTGTTATGCCTTTTTACAAATAAAGTACTGGATGGACGGATCCCCTTACGTGTGCCGGTTTTTTACCTATTGCTCAGTGAAGGCTCCAGTCGAAGCTTTACCAGGTACCGAGGTTCAAGCAGCTTGGATTGTAGACAAGAGGGTAGAGCTGCTCAATGTTTATAAACTGAAAAGTTAAAAACATGCAAAACAATTACATATAAAATGTATACATACAATAAAATAATAAACCGTTCTTTAGAAAGTGATCAAAAGAGGTGTCTTGTTTGTGCTGCATTGTTTTGATACTGTAAAAAAAATATATAGTTAAGCCTTAAGTTAAGCCACTTAAGTAGCCAGTTATGACACGTGAGCTGCATTCTATCAGGTTTGTCTGTACTGTTCTAAAATATATATTCATGTAAGGAACACCATGCTGTGCAAAGTGCAGTTATCTAAAGCAACCAAATGTATTTAATTTTTTATCCACAGCGAAGTCTGAACAGCTGTTTTAATATGAAGTTACTGCACTGTCAGTGACCACTTGCTTTGGAAAAAAAATAAGTATATTAGATATAACAATGCAGTAGATGTATGTGTTACAATTTTATGAACTACCTTTTTAAAAATTATCTAAAATTGTGCTGTGTATATATTGCACCGTTCTGACATAGCAATATAAGCATTTAGGCTTTACTTGGTACTGCCACATAGAAATCTTTGTCGTGACAGAGTAAGTCACTCTATATTTAATTGAAGAACCTCTTAAAAATGTCTTCCTCCACTGCATGAACAGAGAGTTAGTCTATTCTATCTTTGAATTATAGAAAATTTAAAGGTAGTCTGTTGGATAACTTGCACTCGAGGTCCAAAGGCTCCTGGGTGCTGTCACACTATTTTCTGTTGATAAATTTATTTTAGACTTTGTAGGGAAAAAAGGAAGAAAGGGCCTTAGAGGTTTTAAAACTTTGAGCTAATATTAACAAAATACACATATGTTTTGAGTTATAGTCCCTTGACAGGTGTGTGCATTTTATTAATATGAACCCAGTTGAGTGCCCCTATTTTTTGTTTTTCTGTTATTATAGATAGTTTTTTATGTTATTTATAGATCTTTATCTGTATAGTTGTAAAAAAAAGTGCCATGTAAGAATATATAATGATTTTTTTTTTTACTTACCACAAAATCTATTTTTTTGAATTTATTGGAATCCACAGGAATTCAGGAACTGTTGGGTTATATGTTTGTCTACAAGAGGATTGGAC